AAGAGGCACAATGAAAGTGTTAAGTACTCATCTTGGCACGAAGCCGTTACATAGCGGAACAATGCCTAAAGAACCACCTCTCGCCAAGTGTTGTTAAGACTTTACTTTATGAACGGACAGGCTCATCTCTAACTTCGAAACAAATCGAATCTCTAGGAAGAGTTTGCATCAAGAGTTGTCTTGTCTTTGGTAGAGGTCCTTTCTTGAAGACATTCCACCTCCCACCGATCCATTCTTCGTTTGGAGGTCTAGAATGATTACATGCTAGGACCAACCTTTCGGACTTTGAAGGAGTTAGCACTTTTGGCACTACTCTGTGCAACACCAGGCTCAAACATTGGTGACAAAATGTGACAGTCGATGGTAGATAGGATGCTGGGTGATGGATCATCTTCGTTTCGGCGCTTCGCGGTCATCGGAATGGCTTCTTGAATACATGTAACAAAGTTGCGGGGAGTGATTTGTTCGGGGAAAAAGGACCAGGATTGTCAGGGCCAAAGGGAATCTCCTCCTCAGATTCGTCATCCTTCTCCTCTTCTCGAGCAACGTTTTCTCCAGCGTCTTGCCCACCATCTCATCGTCAGAACCGACATGATTCCTAAACGAAAATACTAATGAAGAAAACGAAAATATGTGAGACAAACAAACACGTGGTAACATGCACAATACGACCACAACAGGTATACGTATAACACAGGTAATACGTATAACACAGGTAATAATATAACACAGGTAATACGTGTTATACGTATAACACAGTTAATACGTACAACACAGTTAATAGTATAACACGGGTAACACGGTAACACATATAACACGTATATCATGCATAACACGTGTTGGCGCTGGGTACTTACATGGGTTAGTACTGGTCCCTACAGAAGTTTGTGACATGGTAAATCAAGGCCAGCATCTTCCACAGGCGTTCGTCAGTGTGAGCCTTCAGAGTAATGATGACAAGGGAATGGTCCTGTGAGTTGACAAAGCCTGATAAGAGAGTGGGGCGAGATGAATGAAGGAGTTGAATGGAGAGAAATCCTTCTATCTTACCACAGAAACAGTCTTCTTGCTTCAACAAAGCCATACCACATTGCTACTTACCCACAATGATGTACTATCTTCAAATAACAACAGAAACCTCTGTATCCTTCAAACAAACAAGAGGAGAGAGGTTTATCTCATGGTGTTGTTGTGAGATTGGTGGAGATTGTGGATGTTGTTGAAGCCATTTTGCGACACGAACGGTCACGGTGGCTGGCTGGCGACCGTGTAATACGTGTTATACGTATGATACGGGAATACGTAGAATACGCATTGTACGTATTACATGTATTACATCGCGTGCGTTTGAGGGTCTCTCAAACCCGACAGAGAGACATAAATAAGTTTTTAACCCCCAAATACATCGTCGTTAAGTATTTCGGACTCTTGAAATCCGAATTGATATTTTATTTACGGTACGGACTCGCATACAATTCACACTGAAGATCTTTGGTCCGCTGCTAGGCTGCAACCGGTACAAAAGTAAGTGTGCTGTCGTCAGCAACAGGGTCGAGTTGCATTTTGCTGCTCGAGCTTGGATGGAGGCACAGTGACTATATGTGGTCAGGTTCTATCGGACAGGGAGTCTTCTGTCTGGCGGACGAGAGCCGTTGATCGACGAAGGCATCTGGATCACTGGAGTTTGGAGTGCCTGTTCGAAAAGTGAAGAAGAACGGGAGCGGCAACGAGATTTGCTTGCTTGGCACCGTAGCACGAGGAGATTGAAAACATAGCCCAGCGGTGCACGTCGAGTTTTGGACTGCTCGAGCTCGTCTGCAGCCCGAAAACTATAAAAGTATTTCCAGTACAGGAGCTTGGTACCGGTAAAGCAGGTTGCATCGGTTCGTGTCGGCACCGTACCATTGCGGGGCTTGTCTCTGCAGGCGGATACACGCCCCAGCAGCTACCTACCTATGATCATAAGTCTTCCGAATGGATAGCCCTAAAGCACGAGAAACGTGAGAATCATGAAGAACATGTACAGGCAGAAGCCAGTGACATTAATGCAGTGTTTTCCGCACTTGGCTGTGAGTTCCCGCCTGCTGTGTCCGAAAGGAGCCACGAAAGCACCTCTGTGGGATCGAGATCCCTCGTTTTCCGTACTTTTAAAAGTACGGTAGTGCAATCCGTCATCAAGCCTTCATATAGAATCACAGGGCTCCAATCTCGCCACATTCCTAAAAGGCATTGCCACTGATTGCGTCCTCGACATTCACTTACGAAACTTTTCCCCTTGAACCGGACAGTTAGGTTCAAAATGAAATCCTTGTAGAACTGCTAGCCTTATACAGTACCCTAAAAGCCCAAGGTGACCATACCCAGCAGCATTGAAGCATACCGTATGTGTTCATACCATTGGACATCCATAAAATTATGAGCATATTTCAGGTTCCAAATGGCCTTGCTTGAGCCCCAGGCACAACCCTTTTGGTGGGCATGTTTCAGGATTTCCAAATGGCCATGCTCGGCAGATTTGCTGCATGTGAATTGATCCCAGGGACAAACACTTTTCTGGGCATACTTGAGGCTTGAGGCGTTCAAGTGACCATTCCTGGCCGCACTGCTGGTGGGCCATTCCTTCCTATGGAGGTGCCGATGATTGATCGAGCAGATGTGGGTCCTTTCTATGAATCACAATATTATTTTATTGTCAGATTGCGCACCTCTGAACTGAACTCAGAGATCTGCTCGATTTGCCACCGCACATCAAACAACAACTTTCTTGCTATTACCGGTACCATCGTTCAGAAGAGAGCCGCAAAAACACAAAGAAGGATCATGACATCGATCAGAGAATTCACAATGAACGACCTGTTGAAGTTCAACAACATCAACCTGGACGTTCTCACGGAAACCTACAACATGCCATTCTACATGAGTTACATGTCTCTTTGGCCAGAATCGTTTCTTGGTGAGTCGGTCTCTTTGGATCATGTATTCATTCGAGGGCTTCAAAGACTCGAGAATATTTTATACTCACCACTTTCTTTGACTGTCTGTATGGACGATTTGTTGCAGTGGCTGAAGCCCCCAACGGTGCACTAATGGGGTATGTCCTTGGAAAAGCAGAAGGAGAGGGTCATCTGTGGCACGGACATGTGTCGGCTGTCACGGTCAGCCCCGAGTATCGTCGTCTTGGGATGGCGCAGACGTTGATGGATCTGTTCGAAGACATTTGTGAAAAGACGCATGATGCCTTCTTTGTGGACTTGTTCGTCCGTGAATCTAACGCTTTGGCCATTGGCATGTACGAAAAGTTTGGTTATACCATCTATCGGACGGTCTTGGACTATTACTCGGGAGAGTTTCCTGAAAATGCCTACGACATGAGGAAAGCCTTACCGAGAGACAAAGAAAAACGCAGCGTGTTACCGTTGGAGAATCCGTGTATACGACCAGAAGATCTCGAGTGGTAGCATCTAACAAGGAACCTTATTAGTCTAAGATAGATTTCTCATTTCTCTAGTACTAGCTAGTAGATCGTAGACATGTTACTTGTTTGAAGATCTAAAGAGCGAGCAAAATGCGTGATCATCAATGACCAAAAGAGTTTGTCTTCCATTAGGAAGCTCCATCCTTGGTTTGCAAGACGCCATACAGCTCAGGTCGGCGATCACGAAACAAGCCCCACGCGGATCTCGTGGCTCTATTTTCCGAGGGATTGATGATTGTCGAGAGAATGGTGAATGGCTTTTGCTGATCTACCTTTGCCTCTTGTACAATGGCCCCCGTCTCGTCGGTGATGAATGATCTGCCATAAAAGGTAATGCGTTGCTTCTCCGAGCCATCTTCATGGAGCAAAACCTCCGTTCCGTATCGATTGGACGCTACCACGGGGACCATCTACGTGCGAAGGTACAGAAATGAAACATACAATTGCCGTCAGAACAATCCTATGACGCGTCTAGTAGTCACAAGAGCACGGTGCTCAATAATTGATGCACAACCACTTACGTTGGCGGCAGCATGACCCTGCATGACTCGTTGCCAGTGATCGGCAGAGTTGATGGTTGGATCTTGCGGTTCACTTCCAATGGCAGTGGGATATAGCAATATATCCGCCCCCTGCACTGCCATTGCCCTGGCAGCTTCGGGGAACCACTGATCCCAACAAATGGCCACTCCAACGGTACCAACCTTGGTGCGAAACACCTTGAAGCCAGTGTCTCCCGGTGTGAAATAGAATTTCTCTTGATAACCAGTTCCATCGGGTATGTGGCTTTTGCCTTGAATAAAGTAATGATGTGATGTTTGTATGTGTGAATTGGTGTGTGATATGGCATATCCATGGCAGTGAATGCAACAAAAACTGGTTAGGTCCCCACAGAACAACAACCATCATCACAACGACAAACAGCACATTTGTTTGATCCTTACGATACGTTCCCAGAATAGAACCATCGGCATCAATCATGACGACCGAGTTGTAGAGTGCATTGTTCTTTCTCTCGTAGAACGAAATGGGCAAGACGACTTGATACTGTTTGGCCAATTGTCTCATTCTTTCAATGACAAAATTTTCTTCGGCCGGTTCTGCCAGAGCCATCAAGGATGCCTCTTGGGATTGACAAAAGTAGGGTCCCAAAAAGAGTTCGGGCAGTAGAATGAGATTGGCCCCAGCCGTGGCTGCTTCTTGGACGGCCTGTTGGGCCAACACCCAGAATTGTTCCACGTCATTGTTGGGTATCCCCGAAGCTGTAATTTGGATGGCAGCCACCGAGAAGGTTCCTGGAGGATGATTTCTGCTGCTCTCATTGGCGGTAGCATCAGAGGATGCCTCGACGGAAGATGATGTTTCTTTGGCCTTTAATGCCGCATAAGATTGCAGCAACTTCTGTGGCGAATACGAAAAAGGGGAAGGCTCGCCCATGCTTCAAAAGATGATAGATCTTCTCTTCAAAAGTCAAATCCTGAGGCTGATTCTTTCCAGACTACTATCTAGTGCTTCTTTCTTTGTCGGTGCTCTCTGTTGGATTTCTTTGATTGCTGGAAAAGATGGTTAGTACCAGTATGGCCATGGGAGGACTAATGCATTGCAGTGGCTTCAGTCTTCGTCTTCTGGGGGAAGCGGGGGTGCATGAGGAGGCAGTTGGGTCCGGTCACGGAAAAGATCAGTCTTGACATCACTCGTGAAAGCTCCGGTTCATTGAATTGAGACATCAATCTCTTGACCAATCAGCTGGCTTTTAGGAAATCCTTGTTTGGCGCCGCGACTTCGACACCCCACGAGGCAGGGGTCGACAAAGACATCCCAGCCCTTGATCCCTTGCCGTTTGAGGTCTTGTCCATCCTTGTGTTTTTATTGTTGTTCGTTTGTTCCTTCCGAGTTGCTGTTGACGGTAGCTGTGTCCTGATCACAGCACGTTTGAATCCATCGACTGGACTCTTTGGCTTGGAAACTCTAGCTAGTAGAGACGAGGAGAAGTAGAGACGAGGAGAAGCGTGACAACCAGTCTTGCCCTATTTTTTGCTCAAAGGACCAGGCACCAATAAATCAACACAATAAAAGATGGTAAGTTGAGCAGCAGCTTTTTGTATGTGTTTTTGGCTGCAGTGCATCTCTCTAATTTTGGAATTTGAAACAGCCCAATATTCGCCGGCGTTTTGCCGATGACGATGATGATGACCAAGTGGCAGACGATGATGAACCCACATATGGCGGCAGTGGCAAGAATTTGAGAGTCATGGGAGGAGCACGAGGGGGAGGAAAACAGTTGCGACCCGTCCAGCAAGATGATTCGGACGACGACGACGAAGATGACAGTGATGAAGAAGAAGAGGAACCAGCCAGCTACGCTCCCCGGGGAGGAGGCAAAGGCTTTCGACCATCGGGTGGCAAATTTTTGAGACCAGCTCCCGACGATGATGATGACGACGACGACGATGATGACGATGACGAAGAATTGGCAGATGATGATGAACCAACTAGACCCGTCAGTCGATCGGGAGGAAAATCACTCATGAGAATGAGACCTGAAGAAGAGGAAGAAGACGAGGAGGACGACGATGACGACGATGATGATTCCAGTGAAGAAGAAACACCACAACCCGTTCGAGTGGTACAGAGATCGGGAGGAAAAGCTCTCGCCATGAGACCACCAGAATCCGATTCGGACGACGACGACGATGATGATGACGACGATGAGGAAGAAGAGGAGGAAAAAGCACCCGAACCAATTCGCCCGGCGCAACGTGGAGGTGGAAAATCATTTCCTAGCATGGCTGCCAATCGAGGAGGAGGCAAACAATTGAGGCCAGCTCCTCAAGATGATGATGACGACGACGACGATGATGACAGCAGTAGCTCGGGGTCAGAAGATGAACAACCCGCCACGCAGGCATTTCAAACGTCTTCGGGAGGTGGAAAACAACTTCGACCTCCCGCTCCACCAGCAGGAGGAAAACAATTGCGACCCCAACCACCAGAAGAGAAAGAAAAACCAAAACCAGCACCAACAACCATCATGGGAGGGGGAGGCGGGAAACAATTGCAGCGACAACCACCTTCGGATGATGAAGAGGAAGCACCACCACCACCTAGAACGACAATCCAACCTGCTCCTGGAGGCGGAGGGAAACATTTTAGGGCTGGTCCTCCTGGAGGAGGCAAACAGTTGAGACCATCCAAAAAAGACAGCTCGGACGAAGACGATGATGAGGACGAATCTTCAGACGACGATGATGACTCGGATGAAGAATTCGAGGATGAGGACGAAAAACCCAAAAAGAAACCGGCTGCGGTTGTGCAACGACCAGGTGGAGGCAAAATGCTACGACGAGCGGAACCAGAGTAAGTTGGGGCTATATTTGGGGCTATTGGCAGTGATCAGTTTGATGCGCGCCAAACCTCGCAGTGCTGATGCTCACTCCTTTTATTTGCTTGCACTTGGAAAGGCCCGAAAAGGAGCCCGAAAAACCAAAGCCGGCTCCTGCTCCGGCCCCCGCGCCTGCTCCCAAACCTGTTGCCAAAAAACCAGCCCCCAAACCTGCCGCCAAAAAGATAAAGAAGAAACCAGATTCAGACGACGAGGATGAAGAGGAAGATGAAATGGAAGAATCGGAGGAAGAAGAGGAGGAGGAGGAAGAAGAAGAAGAACCCGCTGCAGAAGAGGAAGAAGAAAGTGACGATGAGAGCAGTGAGGAAGAAATGGAATTGGATATGGAAACTTTCGATACGCAGACGTTGGTGAAGGACGAAGCGGATCGGAAGCATTTGGATTCCCTTCCAGAATTGGAGCGTGAGGCCATTCTTGGTGAACGTTTTGAAAAGCTCAAAGCAGAGCAGGATATGAAAAAGGCGCTTCGCGAATCGAAGTGAGTACCAATTAAGCTGGTTACGAGTCAAATGCATCGTTTTTGCGACCCTTTCTCACCACTCTATCTTCTTTCTGACAGGCGTAAAAAGCGTGATGAAAAGGGCGCGAAACCAGCCACTCGTACTTCCAAGAGAAAGGCTGCTGAAACCAAGCCAAAGGCCAAACCTCCACCCAAGAAAAAGCCCAAACCGGCAGAACCAGAGCCCGAACCGGAACCGGAAGAAGAAGAAGAGGCGGAACTACCCGACACTAGTAACGACGCCGAAATCGCCGCGAAATTGGCAGGAGACCCGAGGGGAAGTGGGAGAAATCGTGATGCCACCGGGTCCAAAAACAAGAAGACACTTGCATTGGCCAAGCTCCGAGAGGTAAGGCAGTCTTTGCTTGTTTTGTGTTGTGTTGCTGACGCCTCTTGGTTGTGAGTTTGTCTAATCTCTGCGTGCATTGATTGTGTCTAGGAGCGAAAGAGCATCTTGGATTCCAAAAAGGATGATTCGGAGGAAAGCGTTTCTGACTTTGGGGATGACGACGATGATTCGGATGACGACTACGATGAAGAAGGCGCTGCCAAGCCATGGCAGCAGAAGAAGTCCAAATCTACTGTGTCACGCCTGGACCAACTGGATTCAGATGAATCGGCGGACGAGGGAGACGCCAAGAAGAAGGATTCAGGCCCATCGTCGGATGCTCCACCTGCCGAGCTGGAAGATTTTTCCAAGGTCACAATACCACGACGTCGACTGGCACGATGGTGCAATGAACCGTTCTTCATTGAAGCGGTACAAGACAGTTTTGTTCGTTTGTTTTTGGGAGAAGACGACAATGGGGAGAAGGTATACCGTCTGTGTCAGATCGTGGATGTGACCAAAGGCGAGAAAACTTATAAATTTCCAACAGCGAATCGAAGAGAAAAGCCGGTACGTATACTTTTGCAGGTGGCTGGGTTTCTTGCAGGAAACTGTGAATTGAGTCGTCGTCTCATCATTCTTTCTTTTAGATTTCAACGGACAAGTTGCTCACGCTCAAGGTTGCTGACAATCAGAAGGAATTTCCAATGTACTTGGTCTCGGATGCTCCCCCCACAGAGCAAGATGTTGCCAAATACGTCTCCATGCAGAAGAACCATCGCAAGGAAATCATAACCAAACGACAAGCCAACAAGTTACGCCGAAAGCAAGATGAGCTAGTCAACAATTACACGTACACGACACAAGATATCGAGAAGAACATCGAGGAACGCAAGAAGAAGGGAATGACGCTTGCGAACTTGGGTTTGGAACAAACAAAGGCTGCCATTGTCGTTCAGGGAGCCAAAGATTCTCTGATGGAGGCCAAGCGTGCTTTATCGGATGCCAGAAAGGCCATTGATCGATCGACATCAGCGGATACCTTTAAGTTGAATGAAAAGCTGAAGGAATGCCAAAGCAATGTTAAAAAGCGCGAGAAAGAGCTACAACAATTCAAAGAGGAGGAGCAGGCTGTCAAAGACCAAGTGCGGGAGCGCAAACGTCGCCTTGCTCAAAGGTCAAAGGACAGGAACTGGGCCAAAGTTAATAGGCGCAATGTCAACAAAAATCAGCGAACTGACTTTGAAGTTTCGCAAAAGGAGAAGGAGGCTGCGGCAAAGAAGGCCTCGTCCACTGTCAAGGAGAAGTTCAATCCATTTGCTCGGCGTAAAGTCAAGCCCAAGATTCTGTGGAAGGTCGGGCAGGCTGACGAGCAAGAGGCGCCAGAATCTAAGGAGGAAGAAAAGAAAGATAGTCGCGGAGAAGCTGATGAAGGCAAACCGAGCGCGATGGAAATCGCCACCAGTATGGTACAGGAGCAGCAATTGCAAGATGCCATCAATCAAAGTCATCAATTCACAATCGACGAAGAAGTTCTGGCTCAGAGTGGCAATGGGCTCACTCGTTTAGAGTCTCAACGGCGTCGAAAGAAGGCGAGAGTTCGCAAGGGAATTAGCTTGGCCGATTATCTCGATCAAAAGGCGAAGGGGACGCTATGATAGCCTCTTGACGGCAACTTGTTGTTACATTCCTTCAATAGATTTGTAAGAACTTTGCTCTCCGAACTAGTGTAGTCTTTTTATTGTTTTGATTCTTTATAGTTTTATTAGAAACATGCTTTCTCTAGTACGGGACTTCAATCCTCCGAAACAACCACCGCTCGGGTCTGACACACCACCTCTTAAAATAAAACCTTTCCTTGTGGTGTACCAAGGCTTCAAGGCAGTGTACAGCGTAATGGCTGCCAAACCATTACGTCATGACAAACAGTCTGGGGCTCACAACGTACTAGTATATCATCTTGACTACGCTTAACTAGCTAGCTAGCTTGAGAGAGCAGTGACTACAGCTTTGGCGCATGCCTCCGATGAAGCTGGGTTCTGTCCTGTGATCAGGTTGCCATCAACACAAACTTTGACCTGCCAATCACCAGCCTTCTCGTACTTGGCCCCCTGCTCACGGAACTTACTCTCCACAAGAAAGGGGACAATCTTCTCCAGCTGCACAGCAATCTCTTCGCTATCGGCAAACCCGGTGACAACCTTGTCTTTCACCAATGGGCTTCCATCCGCTTTGACGCAATCTGCCAAGGCAATAGGACCATGGCAATCACAAGCTACAATTTTGTCGGCATTAAAAAGTGTCTCAATGGCAGATTTGAGAGCTGGGTTGTTCACAAAGTCAACGCACGTCCCATGACCTCCGGCAAGATAGATTGCATCGACGGTGGACCAGTCCACAGCATCCAATTTCACGGTGTGGGATAGGGCTCCAACAGCTTCACCATCATGCATGAACTTCTTCGCATCCGCAACAAAGAAGTCTCCAACCAAGCTGTTTTGATCCAGCGGGATAGGTCCGCCAGTGGGACTTGCCAAGACAACTTCGTATCCCTTTTCCTTGAACATGTAATAGGGAACAGCACACTCCTCCAACCACAGCCCCGTTGGATGGCCCTTCAGTTCGCTGGCGCTCGTACAGACTAGAACAATTTTCATGATTATCTCTCTTCTCGGTTTCTCCTGTGTGTTTGTGTGATAGCGTTTGACTTTATCCTCTGTCACTTCGCCGTGCCATATCTTGTTCCAGCGAGCCAGACTAAGCCCAGGTTTCGACAAAATAGTGTACGAAACTCTATACAAGATTTGAACCAGGGTACGTCATCGAATTTGTCTTACAAGACCCCCAACAATTATGGCGAGGGAACATCCGCTAAGTCTGCCGATGAGGTACGTGTTCGAAAAACTCGCAAGTCCTCACATTTTCAAGTTGTATCCTTCCGTAGAGGTTCGCGACATTGAATTCTTGGTGGGAGCCAACAGTTGAAGCTATCATTACAACTACAAAACTATGAGGATCAACACTAGAGTGAAATGCGATTTAGGACCGACCTTTCCGCGGATTATTCTCTTAAGAGGTGGATCTCGAATATTGTACTTATAAGTAGCTGAATCGAAAGGGCATATGTTGTTGAGTATCCCATTAAATTCCCAAGATCAGAGTGTACTTATTGGTGGAGTTATGGTTGATTGAAAATATCCTCACTTTTGTGACGAATTCTTTTTCTCTGCAGTTTAAGACTTTACAGTACTTAACTGTGTAGGATCCTACATAGGAGAGTCCTGTAAGATCCTACGGAACACTTAGGAAGCACCTCTATTGCTCTGGTACTGAAGCTACGTAGGATCCTACATAAGAACCTCTATTAATTACACGGTCTTAATCTTCACCCGGTCTTAAAATGACATTTACTCTAGTCAAGTCTTTTCAAAGTGGTTGCTAGATAAGAGTTTCTACTCCTACAATGAGTTAAGGGCTACCAGGTACAGCATTGAGTGCAGGTATGTTTTGCTGGAAGCAGGAGAGGTCCAGCATCCCAGTTTTAGGTCCTTGAAATGTGTGGCAGTGAGTAGCTTTGACACTCCCAGCTTGGAACAACTCATCATGAGTGGAAATGCCAAGCCCATGACTCCTGATATGAGTTGCATTCTTGATAGCTTGGAATCTTGGGGCTACTATCACAGCATTGAATGGTACAGTGTTGTTCTTGACATGCTAGCCACAATGGTTGAAGAGGACCAACCTACAAGCAAGGAGACGATGTACAAGCAATGCATTTACTGGAGAGTTAGAGACAAGGCCAATGCACATGCAGGCTTTGAGTATAACTCTCTTGGCCATGATGCAGTGATGACTTACTGGTCTGACTGGTTTGACAGGACCTATCCAATGGTCAAAGTATCCTTCAGGGTAATGACACTGATGAGTGAGGATTTTGTTAGTGACATCATTACCTACATTGAGACAAGGGGAATTGTTCCTTACCCTCCCAACATGGATGGACCTGACTCCATCACTAGCTCTGAAGATTGATTGAGAGAGGAGAATGAAAGAATGTTCCTTGTTGGTGTTTGTTATCCAGTTAGTGTCAAAGTAACAACAAAAGTCAAAACTTACCTTGTACTCCCACCATTCACTTGTGTTTCTGGTGCAGTGGTTGCTTGTAGGAAAAGTGCAATCTGGCCCCATCTTTCCTTCAGCATGTTGTGCTTCCATTTGAAAGCAGTTGCCACAATACATTTTGTTGCAGTTGCTCTTGCCATCTCTACTTCTTCCACCCTTTCCTTCCATAGGAGTGTGTTCCACCTTCTTCCACCCACAGACAACACAAAACATTCTGCTCCTGAAGCGCTTCCTTGGTGGTGGCCTTGGTGCTTCAGCAGGAATGTTGGGCATTGTCATGACATAAGGAGCAGGCAAAGTGGTCAATCCTTGGTTAGCTCGCTGGTTCAGAATGGCATTGGCAGTGATGGTTGCATTCAACTGAGTTGGGTTGCCATAAGGCGTCACAGGATTGGCTTGCATTGTCCTGAAAATTGGAGGAGTGCACTGGTGGGCTGCCGGTAATGGATGTAGTTCCCTTCTTCCCTCTCTCAGAGTGCTGTCGAGAACCTCACGATGCAGGTCATTTCGTGGCGCTGTTCGGCACAACGCCTCATATGCAAGTCCATCCTTGTAGTGTTGCACAAGGAACTCCCTATTCTTGGGCCGAATTTGAACAACCTCCTCATCTCCTTGACTCCACGCTCTGAATCGATTGGCAGCTTCAATATTCCAGGCACGGGCAAAGGCATGATAACTTTGAGGCCCTGTGGCGACATCGATATTGTAGGTTGGTGACCACTCGTGGAACAGTGCTGCTTCTGCCTTATCAACGTCAGTTTCAGGGCTACTGCTGGATGGAGAGCGAAGAGGAAACCATGCTTGATGATTAGAGAGTTGCTTGAATGCATCGCTAGTACTCTCTTTGCCATTTGTATCTGGTAGTAGTCTGGCCAATTCGGATCGGACCAACTCTTGGTGCATCCTGTCATTGGTCGCCGCTAATTCAGCAGTTTCCTCCAACTCAATCTGGTACAAAACTGCAGCATTGGCGGTGTTAGGAGGAGGTTCTTCATTGAGAACAATCTCTATATCTTCTTCATCTCCAAGTACTTGTCTTAAGTAGGCATTCGCGTCACTGGGTGGTTCCTCTTCAGTTCCATCGGCATCTTCATCAATCTCTTCGGTAGTTGTGGCCACCAATGTGCCAGTGGTGTTAGTTGGATTCGAAACATCATGGACATAATCAGGAAGGGCATAAGTAAAGCCCATAAATTCCTTTTCCAAGTGAGTAAATGGCGAACTGATTTCCTTGAAAGGAAGAGCGGCTTTCTTGTAGCCCAGCGACTGCACATAGCTGTTGAGTAATAGTAACTTCTCGGTGTGACAAGTCCCATGATCGATTGCCCCAAGTCTATTTATGGTTCTCTTCCAGTTTCGTTCCTCAAAGAACAACCAAATAAGTCGTTCGGCTTTGTGGATACCTATATGTCTCAGTGGCCAAAAAAAGTGATGTTAGCAGATCTGTGACTCGCAATAACACCATGTTCACGCACAGAAATACGGTACCGATGTGTGTAGCGAATGCAAGCAGCTGTGCCAAGTCCAAGTTGTCTCTCTCATTTGTGTTGGTACCACGTGCAACGTAAGTGATGGTGGTCACTGGATTGTACCGAAAGATGTTGACAATGTCTGGATCTGGATCGCTCAAACATCCCTTGTCAATGTGTGAAAACAGCGTTTGGACGTGCTTCCTCAACTTTGTTGTCATTGGTTTAAGAAACCTTCTGGGCTTCGGCGAAGTGTCATCTTCAGCTCTTGTGGCCAGTGTAGCTTCTGTCTCGGAATCCTTTGACACCATGTAACTGTACACAGCTTCAATGTTCGCTCTAAGGATCCTTGGACGGGGGATGACGCTCTTGCAAGCTTTGAGTATCTCCTTTGTTGTTGGTTCTTTGCCATTCCGTTTTGCAATAAGTTGTGCCTTTCTGTCTTGGAACTCTGACGGTTCCACCATAAAGGTTGCCCGGTGCAATAAGGCCCTAACAACAGCAGACAGTGGACCGGTAGGATCCAACAGGATTTCATTCCATCGTTTGAACCAGTGAAAGACATCCAACAAGATAATGGCCCCAGGAAAACACCTTCTAATAATCGCCCTGACACTGCAACAGTTGTCCACCCAAATGACTTTCACCGACTGCTCTTTGGGTCCAAGGAACTTCGAAACTGATGGGAGGACGATGGTTCTGGCTGGTCGATCAAAGATGTCAGCTTCATTATCTTCCCGTCGCTGATGCTCCTTGATGGCTGCTTCACGTTTCCTTGCAGCCATGTTGGTGTTGAGACGACTGCGAAGTCTCTCCAAGTCCTTTTGTATTTCTGAGATGGACTCTGAAAGTTTCAAAGCCTTCCAGAACACAGTCAGCCCATCTTCATTTTGGATGGTGACAATACACTTGAAGGGGCAGAAACTGACACCGGCAGATGACCAGACTCTGATTTTGGCTGCTAGCTTGTAGTTAAAATCGATCTTCAGACAACAAGCTTCAATACCCTGCATCTTGCTCTCCACGAAATTTTTCCTGTTGCCAAACACTGTCATGACAATGGAGTCAATTCGATACTTGCTCAGAATAATGCCATTATACCCCTTCTTGTCTTTGAATGGGGAGAACAAAGGGGGGCGGTTGTCTTCCTCCTCTCCAACGGTCTCGGTTGCTCCCTCTGCGGGCTGCTGGTGGTCAGCACTGTAATTCGAGAACTCTTCGCAAGCTTGGTTGTACTCGGCCTCTGCGTCCTCAAGTTGGAGTTCCAGAGAAACCACCTCCTCCGAAATTGCTTCGTAATATTGCTCTGCCATTCGGGACCATCGTGGAAGGAGATGATGCATGTTTGCGGGGTATTCAATAGGATCGCATTCCATTAACTCAAAGCAGCTGGTGATGCCAACTTCAATCATTCGTCTCAGCTTTGTTGAACCAAGCCCGGGGAGAACATTCTTGTTTCCATGAACATTATGGTTGTCCTTGTCACCTAGAAGATGCTTGAAGGTAAGATCGGTGGCATGCTTCATTCTCGCTGTGTTCAACTCAAGCCTTCTCCGAGTTAATAGACTGCTCTTGTCGTTGCGTCTTCGAGACAATCTGGCCAGCTCCCTGTCAGTCAACACTTCGGCATTAAGCGCATTTTGGATGGTTCTCCTCCTCTTCTTCGGTGGAATGATTTTGCTTACTGAAATGGCGGACAGGTACAACTGGAAATCAGCAATATACTGGTCATGATGGAATCTTTCCAATCGTCGGTGGATCATGGCAGTGGACGTTGTGGCAGATTCTTCCACAATGAACCGGTATAATTCGTCATCAACAGCATAGCCCCCCTTTCCAAGGAAAAATGTAAAGAATCCGGTGTAAACCTTGGCATCTAGCTTCATCGATTCTTTGTTGTAGCCAGCAAATCGTCTAGCACAGCCGGTACAAGGGTAGAGCACAGTGTCCAGGTAGCGGTGATTATTGAGGCCATACAACACTTTGGGGCAATTAATCCACCTGGCTCTTTTCACATCAACATAGCGGTTCTTCTTGCAGTTAGGGCAAGATGGAACATGATTCTGTATCAGAATATGGGGCACAAACACAGCAATGGGCTTCACATTGAACGACTCCACGCTCCACTTCCTTTTCCCTGATTTCGACAGCAACTGACTGTCAAACTTTCCCCCAAGAGGACAGATCCGCTGCCACTTGTTCTCAGGGCGGCTGAAGAATCCCTGAGGGTCTTGATCGATTGCCTTTCTTGTTCTTTGAATAAAGCGCCATTGCGCCTCTCCAAAGTGTTTCGGTTGGTTCGATGTCATTGCCTCTTGTTTTGTGGTGGTCGGTGCAGGCGCCAAAAGTTTGAATCGAAATCTGTCAAACCAATTTTAAGGATAGAACTTTGGGGGCTCTAAATAAAATATTTCGCGGCCAAATATAGACTTTGAAACAATGTATCGAGTTTAACAAGCAAAAGACTAAAGGAAAAGACGTCTGAGGACATACAGGGGTATAAGCCAATGCGATGAAAAGAAAGCGCAAGATTTAGAGGGGTTGTGGGATTGGGGATACGGGAATAACATGAGTCCCGTACTATAATTCTTTTCTTTTTCTTTTTTTTTCTCCTCCTTCGTGGAACCGGTACTTCGCCACACCTTCCAGCGGAATGGGTGGCGCAGTGGATCTTTTCGGATTCGCCACGACCTCCAACCCTGATGAGAATCTTTTGACTTCCACGCTCCGTGGTGAATCTCCTCTGCGAAGACCGAACACACGCAGTTCGTAGCAGCACACCCAACTTGCAGTTCGTAGCAGCACACCCAACTTTGCTATGAAGGCCTTGAGGGCATGGGCTTACTGACAACTACTTCTCTATTGCAAGATCCTCTTAAAATCTTGAAAGAGAGGGACACCGGTATTCAATTTAGTTAGAACCAGTCTCCAAGTCCCCATGGCAGTTTGTGCCATGGCATGCCCCGGCGAAACTATGCCCAAATAAAGCTACTAGTATGCGCATTGCATTGGCACTTTCTCAGAAGGTGATCAAGCCAGAAAAATCTTTCATAGTTGATTCCACTTTCATAACAACCATTCCTGACCATGGCTGATGATGGAGGAGGCCCCTTGCGCCAGGAACTACCGCAAGGGCATCATTGTACAGATTGGCAGGGTTCGCCATGTCATGGCCAGATTGGAAGTTTGAAAATGTACTAGTTTAGTTAGTTGCTGGGAGCATCTTGGCTCTTGATTGTTCTGCTGCTTTCGCACTGTCCTCTACAGTTTGCTGTGCATTTGTCAAACTGCAGCATTTCCACCCTCTATCTTTTATCCCTTGCAAGAAATACTCCAAAGCATAGAGTGTTCCCTGACGAAATCCTCTTTCTGGCATGTGAAGATGGCAATACTCCCCTGTTGTGCCTGTGTCAACAGGACTTGGCCAATTTCGTTCATGACAGCACGACACTGGTCAGCATCAAAGTCTTCTTGATTTTTGCTGTCCATGTCTTGAGCAAACTGAAAATCATCACAGTAACAATCCCCCAAAACATGTTGCATTGGGATGGGTGCATCATCCATGACTTCTTTCATGCGGGAAGTCAAAATTAACTGAGGAGCCTGAAACCACCGTGGGTTTCTAGTACCAGTGGACACAGAGTGGTCAGTAGTTTGTTGATGTCTTTGCTCCAGTTCTTCCAGCACTTGATTGGCATCCTGCAACTGCTTTTTGAACTCTTCTTTGGGTAGTCGACAATAGTGCATATTCAGATCTTCTTGCATATGGTTTCCTAGCTCATGTCCCTCCTTCATCAGAGCCATCACATCATCTTGTTGGTCCTTTAGGTAATCTGTACACATAAAGAAGGTGGCCGTGGCATCATACTCCTTCAACAATTGCAGCACATCCTGGACCATTGATACATGAGGCCCTCCCCTACTCAAACCATCATCAATTGTCAGGGCAACCACGGGTGCCGTTGTTTCAAAGTGGATGAGTGTGTCCTTGTAGGGACCAACAAAGTCATGGAGTGGCCTGGTCAATTTTCGAATCCCAAACCGTGTTGCTGCTCGCCAAAAGGGTTTCACAACAATTTGGTTGGTCAAGGACACTTTTCTACAGCTCGTCTTCTTGCTGGTCTCGGTCATGGCAACACTATAGCTAGCCGTAAATATAGTTATTGATTACAGGAATCCTGTGTTGTTGATTCGATTCCGTTATCGAGAGTTTGGTATTGGTTTTGGTGATGAGCTAAGTGTAGATGCTGAATTCTTCTTGTCAGTTGATTCGATTTTGATTCTGTTATTAACTGTTTTGCTCTACGACTGTATTTATTGTGAGGAGATCAGAATGATGAAGAGACCGTGGATTCAATCTCATGAAATAACCTTGCAAAACAGTTGGCAAGATTGCAGGTGCCTGCTGCCCATCATTATTTGATTGTGCATGTAGATCAACAAGTACACGTGTATGCCTATACCATTGCATGTGCTTGGTCCACTGCTGGTGCTCGCTTGCTACGGTACGGTACACTGCATGCCAACTCCGGCAAGCTACCGTACTGTATTCCTCTCGTTGGCAAATCTATCCTATGTTACCGCCCACCGGTACCGACATTTGCGGTGCCTCTAGCTAGTAGCAGGTGGCTGAGAACCAGCATACGCGCCATTACGTGACGGATCGGGTGCCGGTACCTGGACCACGGTACCGGTGCGGGAAGTCATCACAGACCGGAAAGGGCACCAGAATCGTACGTACATCTTAAAATACCATGGGATCTTACTCGTACAGACAACCTCAAATCTTCTTTGTAACAGTGCAGCCACGGTGTTCCATATAGTCGAAGCTGCCTTTGGGATTCGCAGGGGTTTCCAGTTTCCAGCACATGTAGTATTCCGTACCGGTATTCCCGATGTTTAGCATTCTTGACCTCGGCCGCCAGCTGTGGACTCGACTCGACTCAGCACTGGTCCTCTGCTACACTAGCTACTAGTGACATCAGCGCCAGTAGCGGGGGTTCTGTTGCTTTAGGTACATTGTGGTGATTCGATTCATTTGAACCAGGTGGTTCCGCGTGACAAACTAAACCATAACCACAACCATCACTACCGTTAATGCTATAAGCATATTCTAGATCTTCGTTACACCAACGATCCATTAGAAGCCTTCACTTTTCAAATCGCAAGTTCCAAATAATCTTGCAAAAGCATGCCAACTGGAAATAGAGTTGGGTCGAGATCCGCCTATTAAGCAAGTTTAATTGTGTCAACAACACCATTCACACGCATGTAGCACTGACAGGACCAGAGTGCAAAGATTGTTGTCCCTTTTGCTGGGCGCCACACCACCTACCCGACAGTCCACAACAAGCCAGGCATCTGCCACTACTTCCCTGTATTTGCCAGGAATACGATTGAGATGTTCCCTCTGGCCTTTTGCATCACGAAGGAGCTCCAAGGCCCACTTCTTTCCATTCTTGATGTAAAAATCCAACTCTCCAATGACAACTTTTTCATCAATCAGCGCTTGCGTACCAAGCTCTGGTCGTACAGGTAGTAAAGATGCAATTGCCTCATGGAAAAGCTGCTGGTATACAGCCTCTTTCGGACTTTGCACCACTCCATTCTTTGTTGATCTTGCTACTCGGAGTCGACGAGCCGAAGTTCTTTCAGTGGCCCGAACAATTAGATCGCCTAACGATAGAGGAATATCTGTACCGGATGAGGCTCGGAGGAATACCTTGTTGTAGTAGAATCTCTCTGCAATAGGACTTGTAAATTGGCCCGATTCTGTCAAGACCCCCGCCTTGACCAGCTTAGTCAAGGCTGGCGCTCTTCGTCTCCCTTGTCGTCTCCTATGTCAGCTTGATAGGCTTGGACAAGTGCATCCAAGATGACAAGGCGTTGGTTCTCGTTCATCCTCTGCACGGGGAAGCAACGTCCCAGCAAGGCAAAAGGGGTATGCTCGATGAATTGTAACAAAGCATCATTTTCTGACAATGTCCCACCCCCGCTTCGCCTGTGCACTGTTTCAGAGAGGTGAACAATGTGATTCATCCCAATGGTAAACGCGGCAGCGTTGCCATTGGTAACATAATAGAGTCTCTCAAAATAATCACTCCAATCAGCGTGCATGCAGCGGCGGCGGTAAAGATTTCTAGCTTCTTCTTTTTGCAACCGCAAGTCGATCAGACCAAGACGTTTCTCGTTTTTGGAACAGATTGGCGAATCACTCGCATTTGAAAGGTAGTATGTTGCGAAAACAACAACAACGATTTGGGGTGGTAGAATTTTGTGGGTTCACTTTTGTGGGTTGTAGGTTGCTCAACCCACAAAATTAATTAAGGAATTTAGTGAAAAGGGTTGGTTTTGTGGGTTCAACACCTATCCCATACCGACTCATTGAAAGAGTGTGGTATTGTGATTGGGGAGTGGAATAAATTGACCAGAAGATGAAAAAACACAAAAACAAATGCTATGGCCTCATGCCCCTTGTTGTTCTGCATGGGGTTGTAACATTTGTTTTTTGATTTCATCATGTTCCTGTGGAGAACAAGCACTCCCCAACTGTGGACACGGCGTTTTCGACCGATTTTTGATTTTGAAACATGCCAATTCTCATTCGTGTATACCCATGCTTTCAGTCAAGCCCTTTAAGTCATTCAGTCATTTCTTTAAATATTTCCATTAAGCACCGCCAAACCTTCACTTGTGGGTATATGAGCTGTATTTTGTGTTAATGCTCTACTTCCAAATGGCAACTATAGGTTTAACACTCATCTCAAGCAGATAACAAAAAGAAATAATGGCTAGGTCAACTTTGAATTTCTCATTGCCAGTACTTTTCAATGAGTCGGTAGGTGTAAATGTGGGTTCTGCAGTTCAACTACAATCCCTTAGGTGTAAACGTGGGTTCAACTCCTGGCCCATAGGTGTAAACGTGGATTCAACTGATCTATAATTACACAGTATTTAAAGGATGTTGTCTGATTTATTTAGAGGACGTTGTCTATTTCTACAAGATTTTCTAGGTTTGCAATGAGGTCCAAGGCAAGGCCAGACTAAAGGAGCTACAATACTAAAGGAATGTCCATCCCTTGGAAGAACCTTTATGGTTGAAATTGACAATGCATGTTAGATTTTCACGAGCTAAGACTCAGTGTATAGAAGGTCTGTTAGCCAGCTAGCTCTTTAGATTAGAAAGGAGGTTGCTTGGTAGCGTAGCAAGCTAGAAGCTAGCTAGCAGCAAGCTAGCTCTCTAGTAGCTATGTATTAATTGTGGCTGCAAATTGCTCTGAATGGACTAGCTAGACTAGCTTGGTCTAGCTTCCAGAGGTACTGTACTAGTACTAGCTAATACTCGTATCCAAATGTAGCTGGTTGGATTCTTAATAATAAGGTATATATTTATAAGACTTGGTGTTAAGATATTTCGCGAACCCACAACCCACAACCCACAAAAATCACGGCACGCCGACAATTTTTGTCTTCCCAAATTTCTTCGAAATTTCTTGCTTATTTTTGGTAACATGCGCCCAGAAATCCTCAAAGGTGAAGTCTCTGTGCATCGTCAAAGAGAAGCCATATTTCCGACCTGCCAACTGATTTTCCACTCAATTTAATTAAAAAGTCGTCAAGCTTTTAAAAAAGAGATACCTCAGTTTTCCGCTGAACGTAGTCAAACAAATTGGTAATCTTTCCCAGGACTCCATTTATTTAAAGGACCAGATTGAATCACGAGCACGTGATTTTCATGTCACAGAAATTGATTGCAACCCAGTAGTCATTCTACAGGAGGTCTACTGAAGTCAATTTCTGTGAAATTTCTGTGACACAGAGTCAATTGTTCTCGAAGTGGTAGTACTACAGATCCCAGAACAACTGACAAAAACCCGCGAACCACTTTTTTCACCCAAGATTTCAGAAAAAAAACTGGTAAACCGAACTCTGTAGAATGCAGTACACTTTCCACGTGAGTTTAGGGGCAAGAATAGAGTTCTCTTTTCATGAGGTCATTCGTGCCTCTTCTTCTACCGTAGGGATACCGTTTATTCGGCAGTTCTTGATTTTTGTGTGATCTGACCAATGTTCTTACCAGTACGATTTCTACTTGACTGCTACGAAAACAAGAAAAAAAACTCAAACCATGGGTGAAAAAAGTGGTTCGCGGGTTTTTGGTCAGTTGTTCTGGGATCTGTAGTATTCCCGTTGGCAATTCTATCGTATGTTACGGGGCACGGGCTGGTTGGTGGCAGCATAGCTCCGGAATACGCGCCATTACGTGACGCGGATCGGGAAGGCCAGTCACAGACCAGAAAGGGCACCGGAATGGTACACCGTTCACGGTTTACGGTACAACCTCAAATCTCCTTTGTCACAGCTCTTGTCACAGTGCAGAGTGCAGCCACGGTAGTACAGTCGAAGCCGCCTTTGGGTTCGCAGGGGTTGGTTTGTTGGGGGCGAGTCCAACCTGGGCAGTTGTGGACTAAACAGCCAGAGGCCTTACTAGTAATGAACTGCTCCACAGCTACTCTACAGACAAACACCCCTAGCAAGTGAGATCAGCGCCAGCAGCAGGGGTCATGTTGCTTTGGGTACGTTGTGGAAATTTAGTTTATCCTTGTAGTAGATTCTGAAGTGGCAACTAGCTGTGAAATGTTCACGTGGAAAGCCAGTGCAAGCAAGTATTATTTATTTTGTTGCCGCAACCGCAAAGAACCACAAGTCTTCGATTGTGAAGGAATCCCCCCGCCAATAGCGAAAATTCTCACATTTACAATACTAGTATTATTAGGCAGAACACATTTAGAACCAAAGGCAAGGACAAACTCTACTTGTAGAAAAACAAAAACACCACGACGACGCTTGATACAGTTCAACAAGATCAGTTGAAATCAGATCACTCGGGCTCCATGTATTGTCTGACACTGGCCTCTTCTTCCTTACAAGCCTGCGCAAACGTACGGTTGCCCTTTGCGATAGGCTCGGGATATCCCCATGTTTCAGCACAGACGCAAAGAACGGGGCGGTCCGGTGGAGAACCACAACTGTAGAAGAACTCACACATCACTCTCCAGAAACTGTGACAACTTTGTCTTTCAGCAGGCCATGTTCTGCAGTCAACTCTCTGATGATTGCGAACAGCGTCGCCAAGCGCCGAGATCGGATCATTGTCGGGGATTACATTGAACACATGTGTATTGAGCGCGTCGATAGACAACGGCGGATCAAAGGTCAGCCGAGCCAGGGTCGGATTGATACCAGAAATTGAAACAGCATATGCCTCAGTCTGTGCACCAGTAATAAGGGCAAGTCCTCCTCTGTTGGGCAACGATAACGCCGAGTTAGACACGCTCGGGCCGAAGCTATTTGAAGCTAACATTCTGTTGATTGCAAACTCACCCCAAACTGACACCGGTTGTTCGAAGGAAATTGAAATTGTACGTTTTTCCATCAAACTCATACTGGTTGTTGAGCATGTCATTGGCAAAATTTGAAGTAACTTTGTAATATGCCGATTGCAGCAGATGGTCAGATGCAATCCAGCTGGTTGTCGCCAGCAAATCTTCATACACATTGCCCCACAACCAATTGAAAGGCATCAGCGCCCGAACAAACCTGCAAACGAGGGCACAACGATGAATGACAGCTCTGCAAGGAGTTGCATGGATTCAGTTCCAGTTGCACCAAGCTCCGGTACTTACGTTGTCAATGCAGTCCCCATGTATAGCTGTGAATTCAACAATCTATCTGTTGGAGTCTCAGTTCCACGGATTGACAGTACCCCTACTCCTGGCTGGCTCGTCTTTGAAAATAACTTGAAGGAGGCGTGGCTCTTTGCATTTCCGGACTCTGCTCTCCACTGATTCACAAATTGAGTTTCGTCCAACCACCCAGCTTCCTCGCCAAACCATTTGTTCAAGATATACTGGCTGACGTTGTACGTCTCATACCCAAGAGCAGCCATTATGTTGTAGTCCATCATGTACGTGAAATTCTGACCTGGGATGGCAAAATCCTTGTCGAGTTTACAAGCTGGGTATGAGATTGTGTTGGGCAGTGGTGGATAGTAGAAGTCGTCAAGCAAGCGAATTGGTGGTCGTCCTGATTCAGGAGTAGCGTTTTCGCCGTTCTGAGTATTGGAGGCTGAGAAAGCGTAATACGCTCCTAAGACACCGAAGAAAATCATGAAAAGGTAGACTCGCGTTGCAGTGGAAATCTTTCCAATAATCTCCGAAGCCCGGGCACGGGCAACCATGTCTCGAGGCTTGTTTCTTTCGCGGATAGTTTTACCGTCTTCCGGATCACCACTGAATTTGATACTGCTGAGTGTGCCGTATCCGTTGATAATGGAACTGCAGTTGATGGCATTGGTCTTTTGTCAGCGGAAGACGATCTTAGCAAAGCAAGCGCACAAAAATGCAATAGTCACCTACCCTGCATCCAAGTATAGGCGAAAGATCGAGAAAATACCTGTCCCCCAAAACACAGTCGCACTCTTTGTCAAGTTGCCCGCAGCATACATGGATATCGTAGGGAAGATGAAGAACATGATAACTTCAACCCCCAATCGCATCCAGCAGTACCACTCTTTGGGCTTCGCCACAGTGAATGCCGCCCATTCCTGATAGAATGCAGGTTCATTTTCATCATCCTCTTGGTCACTATCATCTGTTGTTTTGGGACTTTCTCGAGGCATAGCTGAACGCAATTGCACTGCACTGGTCGCCAGAGGAAGGCCCACCAGGAAAAGAAGCAGAACAGTCACCAAGATCAACAGAAAGGTCCCTTGACCCATTTGATACAGGAATGCAACCAGCAACGTTACACTCAAGAGAAAACCAATGGCGTTGACGGCCAAGGTTGATCGGTACTGTCTGGGTTCCAAGGCATTCGGACCAGAAATGACAAACCTGTTTCGTCCAAGGCGCAAGCGACAACATGCTCTTTCTAAGGACCAACTATGGTTAGATTCAATGGGCACGGTTTCTCTCAACTCCTCCACAGAGTATCTTCGAATGGGCGGATCCAAGTGTTCAAAGAAGGGGTTCCCAGAGATCATTTTGATCCGACCAAAAAGAGACATGGAGTTCCCTTTTGCAATGGTCTTTACGGACTGGTAGTTGTCAGTGTCAACCTTGGTACTACCGTTCTGAACCACGTAATTAAGCTCTTCCACTGCACGATATCGTTGCATCAGAGTCATGAGGACTGCTTTTGGCATAAGCCTTTGGTATGGAAGCACGAGGGGAGCAAGGTGTGACTTAGTATGATCCATTGCATGCAACACGTCTATACCCAGTCGAATGACACTAACCTGATTAGCGGTCCCGTCCCTTCAGGATCATGGACAAAATGCGTGAACTCTAGGCCCAACTTCATCTCGTGGTAGAAAACCATGGCACAGAAAATGAAGAAACTGAGATTCATGGAAGCATACCACGTCAAAGCCCCAATCTCAGACCAATCCGAGCGTCCCATGAACATTGTCACAATCATGGTAATGACTGGTATCACTATATACATAACGAAGCAGAACCATTCCACGGGGACCCTCTGGAGTTCGGCATGTGGCTGAAACCCCGAGAAGAGCAACGCGAAGAGGACATGACCATTCCAGCAATCGCTGACAAAGACCATGGCAAGAGCCAGGAGACTGGCCATGGAATAGGCCAAGAGAGGGAGGGAAAAGATGACAGCGACCAACCTATTGACGTAGATTGTAGTTCCGGGTTCACCTTCACCATAGTATCTTGGGATTTCCATTGCCTGAAAGGACACCACTTGAGCCGCGAAGACAAATATGAAACCAAACATGAGCAAGGCTATCAACGTGTAGAATCCTCGGAGAAGCCGTAGACCCATACTGCCTCGTCGCAATCGCTGCATGGTGACTTGGAGTGTCAATTTGGATGTCTTTGTCTCATGATTGCCATCATTATCGTCGCCTTCTTCCGAATCCGCCGTGTTTGCGTTTTCGGGGTCGTCCAGCAACAGCTTGTGCTCCAATTGAAGCTGATCATTGACCAAGTTATAGACTCGCACTTGTCTTCTCTGCCGTCTACTAAAGGCTCCCACGGTGCTCGACGGCTGTCTGAGAGAGAAATGATCCACGAAATCAAGGTCCACCATGTCTGGATGGTACCCCTGTTGGCCACCATTAGTTTTAGGGTCCTCGGAGACCCCGTTGACACTTTCAGCTTTCACTTCTATCTCGTCGGCGTCCATTTCCGCGGAGACAAAGTCATCCGCTCCGGTTGAGGACATGGTTCCGGAGGGGATACTGTTTATTGATGCTTTTGACTTTAAGAGGGTACTAGCTAGCTAGAGTATTATCCCGGATATTATGGCAAGAGGAGAAAAACGGGTGCGCGAGCCTTGATGTGGAGGGAAGTTAAATTTTGCCATTTCCGCGAAATTTGTGGATGCAATCTCGGCGGTCGTGGATGCACCGGTACATGTACTAGGCCGGTTCCTATGTGGGCGTCCTTGTACGTCTGAGGTACTCCGGTTCAATATTATGGCTCCGTTCAGCGGGTGGTCTATTGAGGTGCAGCCTAAATAATAAAACTTCGTTATTTATTTTCCGTACATGTATCCAGAAATAAATATCTTCTACAATTATCACCAAATCAGAGAAATATTTGGCAAAAACAGAAAACAGTAGTTTTCTTACCGTGACACAGCTTGACACTTGATGCGAACCCTGATGAGACAGAAGATCATTGCTTCTTCGAAATCCACGGGGACCAACCGTGGAGTTCGCTTCTGTTTTCGTCCCGTTTGCTGGCTGAGTTTCCTCGCTGAGGATACTAACACTCCATTGTACAAAAGCTATTGTACTCATAGGGAACGACAATACAAAGAATAATGCAGCCTTCATTTGTTTTCTTGAAGCCATTCTTGGCCGTGTAAGGATGGCGCCCATCGTCTGCAAGCACAAGATGTATGTGATACTAGTAGTATGCAGTCATCAAAGCCAAGCCGTTTGGCACCCGTGTTGGTCCTCAATAATTTATCTCCCCTGATCATATGGAACCTAGAGTCCTGAATTCCAACTCTTCTCTGTCTAAGCCTCGCTGCCATAGATATCCTCCCTACTCTAAACCCCTGTCTTTTGTATCAAGTCAGCATTGCTTGACGAGGGAATAACTGCCCTGCAATTTCAAAATACTTTTTGGCTAGTTTTGACTTGATAAATCATCATCTGAAAGCATAGGTACTCAAGGCACTTGCTTGAGCCCTCCTGCTGGAGTTATGGACAACAATGATCTTTACAGTACCTCTTCGGCCGATGCTTGATTCTGGCTGGGGGTGCCTTTCATTGCTACCGGTACCTGGTCCGTACCACAAGAATGCATGATCAACGACAGCATCGCAGATTGTTGATCACTCAAGATGGTGACATTGACGATGCGTTTAGTGTTCATCCACAATCTAGCTAGCTACTACTAGCTAGTAGCCGCACATGATGGTAGTTTCACCTTCATGTCACGGAGTCGATCAGATCAATCACAGCTTCTTCAATTTCTCCTAATTCCTTTGGGATGCTTGCTCCGTTGAATGTACTCACAAGCGCGTCAGCTCTGTCTAGCTCTGCCAATTCTTTTCCCACGGCCTCTGCTTTTTCCCGCACAGTCCCCAAATCTTTCAAAAACTCTTGGGAAAGGTTTTCAACCCTCCTTGCCAAGAAAAGAAAACAAGCAAGCAATTGAGTTTGTGTGTACAGAGCAGCACCTTCCTGTCTGAGAGGATTCGGATAAGACAGAGCAATGAACCAGTCCTGATCCTCATTGAAATAAGCATTCTTTCTTTTAAGAATGTGATCTGTGCCTTTCTCTGCTTTCGAGACCCCCTCATCAACGTCTATCAGCGTCATTTTCCCAGAGAGTTTATCAAAGCCAAGGTTATGAGGCAAAACGTCACCGTGGGGAAGATGCTCGCTGAGAAACATTGCCGTCGCTCTAACTTTTGCGAATTCGGATAAAATACTCTTTTCAAAGGATTCCACATCTCGTAGCAGCAACCCTCGATCATTCATCAAAACCATGCCAAATGCTTCGTCAACAAAAGGACGGTCAATGTAGGTATCTTGGAAGTCGTTAACGAGTAGGTCCCACGCATCATCCATGGCTCCCATTGGGCGACTCTGCCATGGGGAATTTTTTGTTCGAACTTTGAGATAGTAGTAGCCAGCCCCCGAGTTATCTTTATCCACATGCATGCAAAGCTTTTCGCAGTATTCTTTCCATGCCCTGCGCCTCGACTGCTTCAAGTTGAAGTATTTTCCCGCTTGCAACAAGTCCTTGAGACCTTGAGCGGTTATGCGAAACACAATAGAAAGAGTACCATGAGGCACAAGGTTGCGCTTTTCCCCATCATCTGACCAAAGGCTCGTAGGTAGCACAAACAGGCATGGTAGGTTTTCTGCCAATACGTGCTGTCAATGCCTCATTCGTCGTCCACCGTTTGCCTTTCTTTAAAAAATGAATGAGCACACGTAGCGGGAGCGGGTCCTTCACCAAATGTGTAGAACGCAAGCAGTAGGCAGAAAGCTCGTCTCCAAGATTCTGTGGGGAGGATAGTTTCAGCAGTCCAACCGAGTAAGTTTTTCCATTATTTTGGTCAGAACAACGGCAACCGCAAAAATAGAACCCATAGACTGATTCCACAGGCTTTCCAGCGACCGCTCTTAGCCAGTACAAGATCGCAAGCAAATACATTAGGCACTGAGTTCGGCCGTTTTCTTCTTTGTAGTTGTCGCGGTTCTTGAATTCTCCCATTGTCAGTTGCGGGTAGGTAGGATCCCGATCATCTCGCGGCACAAGGTCTGGTCTCGCTGTAGTAGTGACTGCCAGTCCCCGCATGTATTTTTCCATATTCCCTTGCTCAACGTTGATTTCCTGTCCAAAGTCAGACAAGACTTTGTTAAGTTGCTCCTCGGCATACTTTCGCGAGCCCCTCTTATCATACTTTTTTGAATCCGATGATTTGGCAAACTTTATCTTTTGGCTTTTAGAAAAGTTGGTGAAAATTGCATCCCTTAGCTCCTCTTCCGACGCCTTGGAGTCCTTTAACACATCCATGACAGTAGAATCAATCTGGTATTCGGGTATTTCAGTGATAACCTTGGCATCCTTCGCGTCGAAAAACTCTAGCATGGAATCATCCGTAATTTTGTGGCTTACATTGATCCTAACGTTGACTAATTGACCGTCTTCGATGACGGGCGTCTTACTTGCGGAAATAATTCGATCCTGAACCGGCGGAAGGGAAACAGTGAGCTTCATCTTCTTAGCAGGCTGACTAATAGCCGGATTGGGTCGAATTGTAGCAGTTCTTGCTCTTGTACGTTTTCGAGCTGCTGGGTGGGTGCCAATGGCGCCAAGCACACCAGATGTGTTCTCATCTTCAACTGATAGTCTTTTGGTGGGAAACAAATCCATCCCACCGGTATGCTAGCTACCATAGCTAGACTTGTGGGATTGATCCCAACTCCTACTACAGCACTTTTGAGCTATGCTCTCTTCAATATGTATTGAATTCCCATTGTTGTTGCTGCCATTTGTACAAGCAGCACGACGTACTACATGTACCTAGCTAGAGCTACCGTACTGTAGCACTGACACCGTCACTCCACGTCTCCGCATCTGAGCGTGGTAATTCCTGCCGTTGGGGCTGTACCATCTTGCTTCGTGAAACCCTTCTTGCCTGGAAAACATTCTTTAGTTGAGGAGAATCTTGCGAGCGGGCCTGTGCTCAAGTGATTGAACCAGGTGGTTCGCCGGTTCTGTTGTTTGTTTCACAGCAGCTGCTCAAAATCTTCGCTGGGAGAAGGCACACAGAAGGCTCAAATGACGCATTTTTCTCTCAAAACCAAGGCAGTGTCTAACGAACAGGGCTCTGGTAAGGGATTACTAGTGGGGGGTACTTCGAGAGATTGTGACTTGCTAGCGACTTGTTGAAGCTTGTTCTTTGGTGGAGGTTACCCTTTAAATAAGCTCATGTCTTACAAAACTGATTGATTCGTAAAAATTGCTAATCTGATGAAATCTCGTGGATTTGAATCATATATGCCATTATTTTCTCTAAATTATTTCTAAACCATGCTTGGGAACGTGTTTGTGAAGTGTCTAGGACGACTGTGACATGTTAGACATGAGTTTCATGCGTCAGTGGAACCCAGTTCGACGAGGATGCTCAGCGCTTGCGCGCGAGTGCAGGCTGTTACTGCAACAGGCTCTGCAACCCAATCGATGACAAGGCGATGAGAATGTGAATGACTAGGCGAGTTAGATTTCGATGACAAGAGCCACCATGCCCACCAAAAACAGGCCGCTTCAGCAAACCAATTGCCTCGATTCACTACTACTATTAATACCACAACACGTACTGAATCATCAGCTGCTACAGCCCACACACTAATACTACTAGAAGCTAGCAGTATACCTACCTTTGAATATGGAACAGCACGTATGTACTACCGGTAGCAGGAGGCGCTCATGGCATGGCTTTGCTGGAATCCTTCTCTTAGTTCAATGGGTGTCAAGGGCTTCTGCATTGAATCCTGTCGAAATCAAGGGATACAAGTTCTTCGACAGCGGATCAGGCGATGAGTTCGTGGTGCGCGGAATTGCATACGATCCTCGGCCCAACAGTGGCGCCTTGAATCGAAACTCGGTGGACTATTTCACAGAAGAGCATCGGAATATATGGGAGAGGGATATACCCTACCTGAAATCTTTGGGAGTCAATGCGGTTCGCATCTACGCCGTGGACAGTTCCAAAAACCATGATGCATTCATGTGCGCCCTGAACCAGGCAGGTATCTACGCATTGGTATCTCTTGCCAGCGATTGTCCCACCTGTGCCATTACACGAGATGAGGCTCCCGCATGCTACCCAACCAGTCTGAAACGACAAGGACAAGCCATTATCAATGCATTTGCCAAGTACGACAATGTTCTGGGCTTTTCTGCGGGGAATGAAGTGAATCACTTTACTCCCAACAACAATCCCGAATGGAATGGACCTTGTCAGAAAAAGTTCCTGAGAGATATGCGAAAGTACATTGCTTCCTGTCCAAACATCCGAAAAGTCCCCGTTGGTTTGGTGTCTGCAGATTCCGAACGAGCTGATGTAGCCAACTATTACAACTGCGCCGAAAACCCCAAGGATCCATATGAAAACGCGGAATGGTTTGGTCTCAATGTATATCCGCATTGCGATGGATCCATTAAAGACGCTGAAAAAGGAAACGGATTCGATAAGTTGATAGAAGACTTTCAATCCTATCACTACTCGATACCTGCCATGCTCACCGAGTTCGGCTGTATCTCCAAGTCGTAAGTACCGGTAGCAACATGACAAAAGGAATTTGCCGTTTCTTGGCTTGGAATGAAATTATGCTGAAACCCCTTTTTGTCTTGTCCTTTTGGATCCTACAGTTTTCCCAATGTGAGTGGTACCGACGGGCTGATCTACAAAGGACAGCGAACATTCGACCAAGCCCGATGGCTGCTGGAAGAGAAAGAACTCCGAGATCAGTTTGCGGGTGGCTTTGCCTTTGAGTACTCGATTGAAATGCAGAATGCTATTGGCGATTCGCCGTACCCCTTCGCCCAATGGGGGGCCCAGAACTATGGCATTGGTAAGTGCAACTGAGTGCACACAAAAAGAAAGAGGTGCGGTTGTTTTCTGCTTTGCTGACGTTGAGATTTATTTGTTCCGTAGGTTACCTCTCGCCCGAGGATTGCGACGATGTAGACATACCGTGCCAGTACAACCCCGAACCTTCTTTTGGCTACCTCCAAGCCGCCTATCGCAATTCCACGGTCTTGGACCCCACAAACATTCGCAACTTTTCCATCCCGGAGACCAGGCAAGGCAGGACGACTTGCCCGTCCCAATTCCCTGCCATCAGTTCTTTCAAGTGGAGGGCGGATAGAGTGAGAAATTTGAAGTGCCCTGCAAGTGGCAGCTCATCGTCATTCCAATGTCCAGCAAACTTGAACGACCTACGCGTACATCAGACTGACCGTGGTCAAAATGGATGGGTGGTTTTCTTGGAATCGATCCTGTTCTTGACAGTGTCGTTCGTGGTGTATTCTTGGCTCATGTCATTCGTAGACAAAATGAGTGAATACCAAGAAGAGCGAGAACGAGACGAGCCCAGGTGGATCAAGGTTGTCATGCCAAGCGTATCCACAAAAGATACCGATGGGGACTCCTTCCTCAGACGAGAGTGCAGGGCTGCTGTCGATGAAGGGCTGGAACTACTATAAAAGCACTGTTCGCTACCAGTCTGTCGATTCCGATATGAAAGAGGAAAGAGCTTTCAACCGCTACAGAGGTGGTCAATCGTTGGATTCCGAGCCGAACCAGCCATCGATCATTGAATCCGATTTGAGCGACGATTCCTACCAAGAAGGTGCGTCTGAGGACGGTGGGCAACATTGGCAGGGTGCACAAGACGCTTGACGTTCGTGAGGGAAGGAAACACTACTGTAACATTATTAAGCTATATTGCATTCCTAGCAAGAAGGTGCGTCTGAGGACGGTGGGCAACATTGGCAACGCTTGACGTTCGTGAGGGAAGGAAACACTACTGTAACATTATTAGCTATATTGCATTTCTACAGCGCAAGGCTAAGCTCAACGATATCTGACTGGACGCAACAGCGTACGGGTTTCCGCAGATCCATGAACTTAGGGTGAAATGAACTATGCATTCGCAGCCGTGTGGAAAGTTTCAGTGCGCCACAATCCCAGACAGGAGTTAGATTGGATCTTCCAGAGTTTGACTTCGTCGATGGTGAAAACTGTGGCTCTGCGATACGGTGCTTTGTCTCCGTGGCGGTCCAAGGTCGTCTGGATTGATACCTTGACTCAACAGAAAGGCCCCCAAGGCACCAAAGTACCCTTCATGCTCCAGGAAGAGGGCTTCCATCTCCCCCTTGGACCAGTAGTTGATGGCAAAGGACAAGCGCCGCTGTGAAAGTTTATTGCCACGTAAGAAATTGCCCACAAAGTAAATGCGGGAGGTTTTGTTCAGCTGAGCATCAAATAGGCCACCTGACCAATGTTGTTCGTAACCATCAGCAGCAACGCTCGAGCCAAGTCCTCCTGTGTCAAGCCCGCGGCTGGATCTTCCTTGGCCACCAATTTGCCAAAAGACGACGCCACCAAGCCTGCCGGCAGTCCCAGCTTTTCCAGCGCCTCGGGGTTATTGCCATAGATATCTCCCACCATCATGTCAACTTTGGTGGGATCCCCGTGCTCCGCCAACTGCATACAATCTTCAAACTCTTCAATGTTGGTCAAGAGTCGAATCAATCCCCAGTACGTTCCTCCTCCAATGGTGGGACCTGAGATACGTTCGTGCTTTCGACGACTCGTAGGATGCTGTCCCGTCCCAATGGTTACCAGAGGTAAGGATACGTGGCGAATACGAATGGAGTTAGTTCTATACATTTTGTTTACCTGCGAGACATATCTCTCCT